ACTGGCTCCTTTGTGGACTAATCTACCAGTAGTTTGGGATCTGTCAGATGGCTGTATTCCCCACTGGTGGGCAACTGCCTTTTCAAAAAATAAAATAATATTGTTGTAGTTAATTCAATAAATCAAGGGTCTGTCCCAGAAGCTGATTCAGACCCGTATCATTTCCCTGTTTCTGCCCAGGCTGGGTGAAGCATGCTCCTCTTGCTTCCTTACCCCTTCCTCACAGAGATGAAAAGTTCCCCTTCCCTTTAATATTATTATTTTTTAAATGTACTTTGCAGCATAGGAATGTTGTTTCTTTGTTTGGGTAGTTTGGAGAACCAGCAAATACCACCTCTGACTGGAGATTTTACAGTCTCCTTCCCCTGCCACGCCCAAGCCACGTCCACAGAACTGGCAGTAAAAAAAAATTGAATTCCACCACTGGATTAGTCCACACAGGAACCAGCCAGCAGGAACAAATGAAAAGGACAAGAAGCAAGGGAAGGTTCAAGTGGCCATAATTAGGACTAAGCATCATTCCAGCTCTATTATGAATCCACTGCAAGTCTGGCCTGGAATGTCTAAAGTGGCTTTAAGAAGCAGCTGAGATGACAAGCCGCTTACACTGCTCTGCGTAATTGCCTTTAAGCTCTTAATTGATTGTACCCTTCCTCTTACCAATCTTATTTCTTCTGTCAGCTAGCAATATCATTATTAAAAAATTCAGTCCTCTCTCTCATCTTAGTAACATTTCTACTTAATTTACAACACTTGTTTTCTGGCTATCAGATCAGAAGGTGTACTAACATAGAATGAATGGAATATTACTAAACAACATCACTAAACAAAATCACACACACACACACACACACACGCACACACACAGAGCTTCCAATGTTCTACTTCAATAATCTTCCCCCAATTCTGATGTCATTGCTGTAAGTCCCATAATGCTACCTAGAGTCATAAGTAGCTGCAATTCCATCAGATTATGGTATATCCATTATCTCTGATTCTTTGCTCCTTTTAAACTCCTATTATGGCTGTTAATTGCCTTCTCCCTGGTTTTCTAAACGTAGAGCCCCCGCCTCAGTCCATTTTACATGGTACTTGGGTAAATGACCACCAAGGAATTCCAGGGCTCAGTGCTAGGCTAGGAAGCCAAAAAACCATCTGGAAAAAGGCAATTGGAAACCACATCTGTGCTCTTCCCTACACCCATTTGCCTAGATGCTTCTGTGAAATTCCCAGCAAAAGAGTTCAGTTCAAGGGCATCTTTTTCTTCTTATCTATCGTATCAGATCCATATCCCGCTTTCATTTCTTCCCTTTCTCTTCCGTGATCTTCAGTTTAACCACTTTCCTATTCATGACTTTTAAGTTTACAATATTTGGATTTGGACATGTAACCTGATCAAAGAGGAGCTGAATTTGTACCACTTTTTTATTGATTTGTTGGGAGTGAGGGATTGCATCAATAATCTGTGGTATAAATCTTGTTATCATAATTTCTAAGTGAGGGTTTCTATTTTAGCAGGTTTATGAACCCAACTTTATTAATTTTTTTAAATTAAAGAGTAGTTAAGCAACCCAGTGGAAGGTGTGAACCCAGTCCTAAACAGGAAACATGTGAGAAAGTCTGGGTGATACTGATGAATAACAGTTGTCTTGTTATGGCAATTGATATTTTAGCTCTCAGCCCTGCAACCACTAGGACACTGCCACAAAACTGCAATAGCTGCTCCCATCCTACACACGCATACATTTCATGTGATCACAAACCAATTATCCCAGGAAACTTGACCCTGTGAGGGATGAAATACTTTAAAGCTGCATCTTGCGTTTTCCCCCTCAGCAATAAAGATGAGTTAACAGCTTTTTTTTGGTCCAAAGAGGAGGTGTATTAAATTACAACCACCAAAACCTTGGGTTAAGCAAAGACAACTTGATATGATGCCTAGCTCTTGGCCTTCTCCCTGGGGAGAAAGATGGCCAGGGCATTGCAAGGGGAAAAAAGGAAAGAGGAGGTGAAAAATGAATGGGAGGTGTGCTCAGAGAATGAATGAATGTGTATTACAAATCTGTCTGTGCGCCTTTGGGGAGCAGAACAAAAGAATGTTAATTCTGCTTTTCTGTGCCAGCGTGTGCATGCATGTACTTAGGGAGAATTTACTGCTTGTATGTAAGCTAGGGGTTTCTTCAGGAGTATCTGTGTGAATTCTAATAGTGAGAATGAGCTCAAGAGAAATGTTATTATTTACTTGGATAGGGGCCACTCTGTAGTAAGTTTTGGTTCCTGAGTTCAAATTCTGCCTCATGCCCCAGATTCACTGGGAGTCAGTCTCAGTTTTCTTGTCTGTAAAATGGTAGCTTTTCTCATACCCATCTTTAGGTTATGGCAGAGGCAAGCACAATGAAGACTGCACGTTATATGTGATTTAATAGTGACAACATCACCCAGTGCAATCTTATGCATAGATATGTCTCATGGGACTTCCTAATAAAAGGCCAATGCTTGCAGCACCGATGTTGCTATTATTACTTACTATTATTGTCATCATTAGCCATATCATAATGAAGCCATTTCTCTCCCCTGCCCCCTCTCATTCCTTGAATAGCTTGCAAGTGTTATGTTGCAAATCTGGACAGCTATTATTTCCTATGTACTTTAAAGGAACTCATCTCACAGCTGAATAAGCAAGTTAGTTTTAAATGGAAACACAGCTTCTCCGTTCCACTGGATGATGAAATATTTCATTCAACGCTGTGTGTATGGAATCCAATGGCAAGTATAATAAACTTATTCTGTGTAGAAATGTCCTCAAGGTTTTGGACAATGGACAGGTAGACTTTTCCAACTGCAGATTTCAAATCACTTAATTAAGCAACATCAACAAATTAAAATAGGAAGCTTCAGTTTGCTTAATGTTACTCTTAAACCTTACTCAAATATCAAGTATGAAAATGTGCATGAACACCAGCCCTATTCCTTCCAGTGGTGTCACTGGATCATCCCTACAACTTCTGTGGCTCTTTTGATTATTTTTTTAATCCTCAGCTATAATACAAGCTATAATACTAGGCCTCAGAGGCCAAGTGCAATGGATGCATCCCTCAGCTTGGGGCCACCAAATTGCTACCCAGGCTGGTAGGGTTTTTTTATGCATTGATGGGTGTATTTGCCCTGCTTTTCTCCTTTAAGATATTAAAATGGTGTCTTGATTTACAGCATACTTCCTACACTTACATTATAGTAATGTCAGATTTTTTTTTTTCAGAACTGGGAATTGGTGTAGGGAAAGATCCACACATAAGCCAGGGAACAAATATAGTGCCCAAATCAGCTATGGTCCTGATTTTGGGAACCTTTTAAACAAGGAAATTGTCTCCAACCTGGTAACCTCCTGAAGGGTTAAGAGTATAGCTCCTCTAATGTCCATCCAGCCTGCCCCTTAGACCCATGCTGCTGAGCTGGACTTCTAGCAGCAATTACCTCAACTCAGAGGCCCCAGAACAGACAGGCCTGGCAAAAATCACTCAACTTATGGATGTTTGCCTTTTCCTACTTCAGCCTTAAGCTGGTTGACTCTCATGCATAATGCAACTGGAAATTAATCTATATTTAAAAATCTTTTTTCTGCATTTCAGCTCCTCCTCGTTGGCCCTAGAGAGGGCCTGATGGTCTGTCTATATGGAGCGTGCTTACTATGTTACCTAAAAGGCAGATAACAGGTTCCCCTGCTTCTTTACCATTTCTATTCATGCGCTGATCACATTCCTTCCCATAGTTGGGTCTTTGAAGACACAGGGAATCCCGCTGATAGACCTCCCTCTGTTGACATATTTCATACTTCATCTCGGAAGGAATTTTATTATCCCTGACACAGGAACTAAAAGGGGAAATTGGCAGAGTTCTTTCAATTTCACCTAATGAAAAGTTCACATTCCTTCCTCCGGGGTTTCACTCCTCCAGCACCCCAGGATGAAATGGCTGTGGAGGACAAGGATCGCTGACATTCCTGCCATAGCAAACCAACAGGGCCAATAGGGAGGAGAGTGCTTGCTACAATTAAATGAAACACCACAGGTGTTTCAGACTCCTCACCCTTTTTATTTGCATAAACACTACTTTTAATGTATGGCAGAAAATGACAGGCAGGGGTTGCTTTTCTTAATGTGCTGAGTGGAGGATGGCATTGTACATCGCTGTCTTCACAAAAGTCTCAATTATTCTGGGCAGCTCACAACAATCCCTCTTCCATTCAACCTGGAAGATCTAAATTCAATATTTCTTCTGTGAAGAAAATCCCTAGATAATGTTAGGTGATTTAATTGTACTCAATCTTACAAGGATTATTAATTAGTAGAAATGGATGGCAAAAAGGAATAGCACACACACATATGCATCGACACACAGAAAACGAACCTGCTTTAGTGCATTAAAAAAAGGTTTAGGACTGAGCTTCGATAGAGCTGCAACACTCCGGATGGACACTAGGTGGCAGCCATAAGACCTTGTCACTTCTCTTGCCACGCATCCAATGCTAATCGAGGGTTTTGCAGCTATCATAGGTAGCTCCACACAAGAATCCTAACTTTAAGACATCCTACTAACAGCACACTTCTTCTATCCACCCGTCAGCTTGGCGAATAACCTTCGCGAATGTATTCATAAGCAAAACAAGTTTAATAGTTTGCTGGTTCGCCCGAGAGCGACACCTGCTGAAATTAAGAGAAAAGCACCACCAGCGGTCTCTTCTCTCCTCCATAGCAACAACCATACAAATATCTTCCAATGCCGCCACCTTTGGGGCGCGATGCTCCTGAACGATTTGAAAGCGAATTGTCACATTTTCCGGCAAGAGGCGAGCTGCGAAAATTGCACCGCAGGCTTCCGGTCGACTAGAACCGTAACCTTCCGTACAACCACCCAAGCCGGCAGATGGCGCTGTCACATACTGAAGGCCATTTCCCCACTTGACGTGATGGGGCGCTCCAGCCGCCTTGGCTCTTTTCCCGGCAGAAACCGTTTCCGGGCGGTTTTAAGGCCCTTAGCCTCGTCCTTCCGCTCGCGCATGCGCGGAAAGCGGTCCTTCTCGCTCTCTTCTCCTGAGCAGCAGGTAGGGTCGCGGAGCCTTAGTCTTTGTGGTATAAATCCTCTCTCTCTCTCTCTCTACCTCCCCCCCTGTCCCGCCTCCCCCTGCCTGCTTCACCCCGGCCGGCCTTTTTTTCTTTTTTTGCTTCCCTTCTTTTGCACGCTTCGGTCTTGAAGGGGTGCACGGTGAGGTCAAGCGGGACGTGCACCGTCTCCTCGGGATAAGGGGGCGGAGCTTGCGGTGGGCGGAGCCACCCGTGGGAATGATCTTGGCTGGCGTGTGGGCGGGGCTTGGCGGCTGGAGAATATTCCTCTTCTTTCCCCCCCCCCCCCCCCCCCCCCCCCCCAATAGAATCCGCAGAGCTGCAAACCTCCGATTTCCCTCCCGCGAGGTTGCGGTGTCGGCTGGGCGCGAGCGTCCTTTAGCACGGGATGCCTCGCGGAGCCGATGCGCGCGACGGGGCCGCCCCAGGGTGACCGCAGCAAAGCTCGTCCTTCAGGCGGCGGGCCAAAGCCTCCCCCGCCCCCTCCCTCAAGGTTGATTGCCCGGGGTTCCTCAACACCACCTCCGCCGCTTTGACGCGGGCAGCGGCTTTTGATCTGATTCAGGTCAAGTGGGGTTGCAGTTTAAAAAAAGGAAGCTGTAGAATCGAGCTTCGGTAGGGCCGTCTGTTGCCGTTTTGGGGGGCCAACCCTCCTTTTGTCCCAAAAGTGCTTTTTTTTTTCCTTTGGACTTTCTAGTTTTTCGTTGAAGACGTTTCGCTTCTCATCCAAGAAGCTTCTGGATGAGAATAGAAACATCTTCAAAAAAAACAACAACCCACCAGAAAGTCCAGTTGTCTCTTGAAACAATCACCTTTGGGACAACCGTGACCTGGATGACTGAAAATCCCCATAGACAAACCCTCCAAATTGTTTCTCAGGGAGAATAGCAATAGCACTTAGACTTATATACTGCTTTACAGCCGGTTTACAGCGTCAGCATACTGCCCCCAACAATCTGGGTCCTCATTTTACCCACCTCAGAAGGATGGAAGGCTGGGTCAACCATGAGCCTGGTGGGATTCGAACTGCCAAATTGTAGGCAGCTGGGTGCAGCAGAAGTAGCTTGCAGTACTGCGCTCGAACCACTGCGCCACAGAATGCCTCACTATAAATAAAGGTACCAATAAAGGAGAATATTTGTAGCCCAGGGTTGACACGAGGGGTCCTTGGTGCTCACTGAGCTTGCTTGTTTCCTTGCAGACGTTTCATTACCTAAACTGGGTAACATAATCTGTGCTAGTAAGGAGCCGTCTTAGTTGTCGGTTAACTAAGACTAACCTGAACACAGCCAAGCCCCCACCTGAACAGAACAC